TCCGCTAAATGATATTGGGACCTTTCTGACCCACCTAGCGAACATTGATGAAACATACGTAAATTATTAGATTTATCTAGGTATTTCCTAAATATGTTGATTTTTTTCCAAAATTCCATGGGAAAGTCGAAATAATTATATTTTTTTATTTTAAGATTTTCATGGTATTTTCAATAAAATTCTCTTTGTACTATACTTTTTTAATAAAAATACAGCTATGACACTATATGGATGTGGACAGGTGATGTCTACGTCAGACTGTGCTCGACAGCACCACCCAGAGCAGCCTATCTGGGTCCCAGAGCCTCCGGTTTATCCCTGGCAGCCATGACCCTGCCGTTTGGCTCGAGTCACTGGAGGCTCTTTTTGACGATAAAAGTCGCGTCCAACCTCGTGATCAGGACCTTTCTGTCCTCTTCTAGGACGGCTGCTCGTGCGCTCTCTTGTCTTGGGGCCGGCTGGTGCTTCGGCTTCTCCCCCTGAGGTGTGCCCTGAGGGGAGCCGACCACATCCAACGGACCCGTGGGTGACTCTTGACGTGGCTGGCCCGGTGCTTTCCCGACCTGGGGGCGGCGGGGGTGTTGCTCGCCTCCTACGCCTCCACGGCTTCCGCTTCTTTGTCGTCGAAGTTTCGGAGGGGCCGTTTGGCAGCCACCATAAGGGATCCAGCTGCGTTGGTTTCCCCCTGCGGTGTCGCCTCCGTCTTCGTAAGAGGTGCTGTGCCCCCCTCTCTTGTTTCGAACTTCACGGCGCAGTACGGGGCAATCGAGGCTGTTAGCCGGGTGCGATCCTCCACAGTTGGTACATGCGGCCGGTTTTTCTCGGGGTCTTCTGCAATCCAGGGCGGGATGTTCGCCGCCCCAGATCACGCATGGCAGCTTACGTTAACAGTGCCTGCTGCTGTGCCGGAATAGCTAGCATCGATGACATTGTGGAGTGCCCTGTTTTTCCACGCCATCCCTCGATCTTCACGCCGAGCATTCACATTAGCTCTGTGACGTTGTAGATGCCCGGCCGGGGTGAGGTTTAGCGTGCGAATAAGCTGGGCTAAGTTGATACACACTGGGCGTTCTCCGCGAGCCTTGGTGGGGCGCATGTAGTCCACCTCGTAGCCCAGGGTGGTCAGCTCCTTCTTGATTTCCTGCGGGTCCGTGTCCACATGGGAGGCTTCTGATCGCGACCTTGGCTGGCTGCTCTTTTGGGGGTGCGTAGACGGACCAGGACATTTCGGTACCGGAGCCCTCCAGCGCGGTTAGGTAGCGCTTGTGTACGCGGAATTCCTGTTCGCCTTGCGCCAGGAATTGGAACTCTGTGGGCCCATAGGGCCTCATAGGGCCGCACGTTTGGCGCATGAAAAAGCTCCTTTTTTACCTCGGCGAAGTGGCGGCTCCAGTTCGGGAGCAGGTCGACTACTATAAGCGGCGGCTTCTTTATGCACCCAGTTATCTTCATGGATGTCTTTGGTGCAGGTGGCGGCGTCTTGATGCCGTCTTTCCTAGGCTTGCTGGGCGCACACTTCGGCGTCGTTTGCGTGGACGCATAGGATATTTGTGATGTCATCGCTGGGCTGTCTCCACTACCCGAGCTGTTCAGCATGGAACTGGACAGCGGCGGTGTGACCCTCGTATCCGGAACCGTGCGGGTCCTCGGTGGGGTCGGTGAGGTTGATCCATGCGGTCTGCGCTCGCACCTGTACGGCTGTGGCACTCTCCCTGAGAGCGTTCAGGTGCGCTGTAGGGCAAGCAGGTCGAAGTGCTTTTTGTCCCTCGGCTTACGCTGGGACAGCGGAGACGGCGAGGGAGAAGCAAGCAGCGGCGGCGAAGATACCAGCGGGGGTCTATTGATCCCAGCGTGAATGGCGTCGAGGGATTGCACAAGCCGCGAGTTCGTTCATAACGCGCTGCAAGGCGGCTTGCGGATTCGTGCGGACAAACATTCGCGACCCATTTGCGGGGCGCTGGTGGCACTTGAAGGGCATTTTCGAAGCTGAATATAATAAGAAGCCTAATAATAAGCGTGAAGCGTAGCCTGCCCTCGGGGCGCAAGACTCTGGAGTACCCCAGGTGAGACTCGCTGGCCGGGGTTACTTGTGCTCGACAGAGCCCTACATGACTACCGAAGGTAGGCGGGAACCGTAAACAAAAACTTCCGAACGCGAGAGCGACTAGGCGGCTAATCTGGAGTATAGTGTTAAGATATATAGATATATTATTAAATATCTTAATATTCCCATCCCTCACAATAATGCGCCTTTGCCTGCTATAACTAGGCGGCTTAGGCTTTAAAATGAGACATAATTCATTAATGTTTGCAGTAGTGGGTATTTTGTCCATACTAAAGGTCCCAATGTCCTTTGTTTATTTTTATTTAAAAAGGTAAAAAGGTTCTGTAATCCTCTACGAAGTTTCAAATCTGTGCAGTAAATAAAATAGCCGCTATATTTTTTCAAAACCCTGCTCTCTTATTTTGTGTTCGCTGTCCCGCACTCAGAATTTTTCCTTTGTCTTCATTTTTTTTTTTCAAAAACAATGTTGATAAATTAGAGCTTATTTTAACATTGGACGCCCTTTTATTAGGCTCAAGGATAATTAAAATTATAAACGTGTACAACCTTTATTTACTTATTTACATCCCGGTTTGATACGTAATTTGCGTCACGCGTTATACCTTCATCACAAGTGAAATGATTTATGCCGAAGGTTGTGGCATGAGGAGCCAACGTAAGCTGAGCTGCAGCAGTCTACGACAGCAGTAAACGTGTGCAACCTTTATTTACTTATTTACATAATTTAATGTATCTGTCCCGGCTTGATACATAATTTGTGTCACGCGTTATACTTATACCTTCATCACAAGTGGAAAGATTTATGCCGAAGGTTGTGGCATGAGGAGCTAACGTAAGCTGAGCTGCAGCAGTCTACGACAGCACTGCTGCAGTGGTGTGTCATGTTTTTGGATGATGAACTATGGACGTGAATACCTAGTTTGCGTTCGCGTGGTCACGGTTTTCTCTAATTTGTGTTCGCTTGTATCATTTTGTGAATAAATGTGTATGAGTCTTGTCAATTTATTATCATGTAACCCTTACAAAAGGTTCAATTTCCGTCAAAGGTTATGAACAAAAACTTAAAAGGATCCGTATAAAAAAAAAACTTGCATTTTCCCAAATTTTTATCACATAATTTGCGTCACAGAAACGTAACACAAATTGGATCGTGCTTGTTAATATCAGTATCAATGATCAGTTGATCATCTACTGGGGCAGTTCAGCTGCCTGTGGGAGTGCTATTTTTTGTTCTAATGGCCTGTATGAGATTTTATTTCTCTCCGCTTTCAAAAACAGCTATGGTTCACGTGAACTGATCATTTTTAGGATTTCAGTTCGCATTTCTATCTTCCCTTATATGGAGAGGCTCAAACACCGTCCATGCTCACCTGCAAGCTGTAGGAAAATTTTTATGTTACGTATTGTGGTGGCCGTTTCTCAAAAAATTGGCCGCATCAGTTTACGTAGGATATTTTTTTTATAAGGTCCTATTAAATTCACTGCAAATATTTTAGGGGCAGATCAAATAAAATATAAGCATGTACTAGGCAAATTTTCAAGAAATCTACACGTTGGTTTTCGAGAAAATAAAAAAACAAAACGAAAAAAGTGCACCCTGTTTGTCCTAGAAACACATACTTCGATGAATTTAAATTACGCACCAAAAAAGGTGCTGTGATTGGTTGGTGTTAGTGTTAGTGAATCCTGTCTACAGTACGCGAACGAGTTCATGACCATGTTGAGGAATGCGGTAGTGCTGTGACTAAATTCATGTTGATGTCGATATCGAGAACTGTTGCCAAATAATTCAGTTCAGACTACTCATAGTTATGAGTTAATGGGTTGTTCCGGGTGAATTCAATTATTTTTGAGATTTTGTAACACTGTTGCAAGCATCATGATGATTGGTTAAGCGTTGGGCTACCAGAGGCAATTATATCTTGGCCGATATTTTAGAAGGCGAACGAAGATTACCAATTTTTGCTTCTGTTTCAATTCTAGTCAATGTCTTTTTAGAAAGCCCAGTATAATGGACCGCTCGATCCAAAGCGTTGTTAACTGAAAAAGCATAATAATAATAAGTTTGTTTTCTACACAAAACACAACACAAACGACGACAAAATATCGATAACTTTGTGACGCACTTTTTTCCCATCACTCGATTGCGGGCGAAGCGGGTAGGTGGGTAAACGCGGGGCGCGCTGTCCCCGCGCGCTTCTTCATTCCCCGATGGTCAAGAACTCGATCGCGTACTGTACGTGGCGGAACGTCAGTCGGGTCAGTCAAAGGATGTTCACATAATTAATTAAAAAGTTTGTTTGAAAATGAAAAAAAATATCTAACGAGTAGATTTTTTTCAAAATGCCTTAGATTGTTTTTCTTATACCTACATATTTACGCATGCCCTTAAAATATTTGCAGTGAATTTAATAGGACCTTATATAAGCTAAGCACCCAGCTGATAACTTTTTTCATATTCATTTTTAAACACAGTTCTTGCACAAAGGCCATGTGTATATGTATAATATCACTCAAGGTACATTATATACAAACTGATTTTTATGTGTATTTGGTCGCTAACCTGCGTGTCTTTACACGATGTGCTCAAGTTTAAGCATTAAAAAATATATTAATGCGCATAAAAAAAATATTCTACCAAACGTTTTTATTTACGTATATCCATAAGAGTAGAATCACACAATATAATAACCTAATATTATTCATAACATAAAATACAATTTAACCCGGCGTCGTCCAGGTGGGAAAATGTTACATTAAGATCCACGTTGGGTCAAAAAAACCCGTATTTATATCATGGTCTAATTTGAAACGAAAATATTCATAAAAATCTTTGTTTATGAATGGTGTTATACAAATATTTTATTGGGATTGTAATGCACTCACAGTGCTATATTATTCTCACAAGTGAAAATAAGAAATAGAAAAGATGACGTACATCGACCGGGGACCGAACCCGGGCCGCATGGGTAAACGCCCCACCGCTCTGCCACTGAGCTATCGATGCACGGCCGATGGACGCCAAATTTTCTATCTCTTGATGCTCGTCTCCAAGCGACGATCCAGCGACATCTATAGTAAGTATTTAGAACTTACTACATGGTTAGTCCACATTATGAGTGGAATTCAAACCATATGATGAAGCTTGCTTAATCAATCTATTGGGATTGTAATGCACTCACAGTGCTATATTATTCTCACAAGTGAAAATAAGAAAAAGAAAAGATGACGTACATCGACCGGGGATCGAACCCGGGCCGCATGGGTAAACGCCCCACCGCTCTGCCACTGAGCTATCGATGCACGGCCGATGGACGCCAAATTTTCTATCTCTTGATGCTCGTCTCAAATTTTCTATCTCTTGATCCTCGTGCGGCCCGGGTTCGATCCCCGGTCGATGTACGTCATCTTTTCTATTTCTTATTTTCACTTGTACAAATATTTTGCCTGAAAAATAAAAAAAAACATCGAAATACAAAAGTAACAGCTTTTATTATCTGTTTTTATAGATCACTCAAAAACTGAAACAAATAAAATAGGTTAACACTTTTAGACCCTTTAAAGTATGAAAATATAGTTTTTTAACCATTATTTTAGTTAATACGGCTAGGCTTTATTAGATCTTAATGTAAATAGTACATTTAATAATGAGAGAATATTCCGTAACATTAATTATTATCAGTCCTCAAATTTGCATATGTTGCGTACATCAGAATGATGTTTTGCGTGTAGATAAACTTTTGACATCCATGACAGGTACTCGTGGTCTTTCTGTATTTTTGTGCTGGACATTCTTGACACCTTTTGCGGACACCTGCAGCCCTAAGATGTCAAAAAAGCCGTTCAGTCGCGCCGAGCTGTCAAAATGTCACAAACCTGACCAAATTTCCATACAAACCATAAAGAATATAAACAAGTGACTTGCAACTGAAGTTTCGGCGCGCATGAATCTGTCATTTTGGGTCTCCTCCAACTCGGAGGTGACTCGGAAGAGCAGGGAGAGTCTTCGAGCTATCACAAGAATAATTCGATAAATGTAGTGGTAGGTATCCATGATTTTAAGTAGGTACTTTTGAAATTTAAATTAAATGAACTATTTTAGGAGGTAATGGCTGTACCGTACTTTAATTTATTTACCTTATCCCCATTATATGAAGAGAGGAAAGTGCGTAAGGTACAAATAAGGATAAGAGACGTAGTTAGATATGCGATCCATTTTCTATCCCGGATAAACGATTTGAATTTATCTTTTGTATCAATAAGCATATGAATTGATATCTCGTAGACCCGTACGTGTTAATCTTAAACCGCACAATGGTGAGGGTATTTTATTTTACTTTACCTTTGAAAAAGACATTCCTAACATAAATACTAACGCTGGGTTTATAAGCTCTCTCATCTTTCTTTCTCCTTGATTTTTTTTCTTTCTGCATGGAACTGTACTTAGTTTCCCAAAAACAAAATAGGTAAGTATCTTTAGTTGGGAAAATCACTCGCTACATTCGCGGCCGTATGGCGATCGTATTAGCGCATCATCGGGTCGTTGAACGACTCGGTGTCCCACACGAACAGAGAGAGAGAGCGCTCTCTTTCTCATATGAGTCTTAAACTCCCGTGAGTAAAAGAGCGCCATACGGCCGCGAATGCAGCGAGTGGTCTTCAATACATAGTATAAAATTAAGTCGCTTTTTTGCCTTTTTCTGTCTTTTTGTCTGTCGTGGAATTCGCTAACTTCTCCTAAACTACGCTATAGATTTTGATTCGGTTTTTTGTAATAAACAGATTGATCAAAAAGTTTAGGTAGAAATGTGTATAACACATAACAGGAAAATGGCTTATTCCTGTGGGAAAATGAGTTGCATCGGGTTAAACCGCTAACGGGATTTATAGTCGACTATAAATGATTATTTTTAATACAAGTAAAAGAATCGCATATAGGATAACCGGGAGTACCAAAAAGGGTATAACAAGCCGAAAGGATGTGAAGGTACCCACGAAACTAAACAATTTTCCCCACGAAATATGGGTCGAAATATGACAAAAAATTTACCTACCATAGTAAATCAATCAGCTGATCGGCAATTTTATACGGGAGGTCCAATTTTTTTTTCATATTTCGACTCATATTCCATGTGGACAGGTTGTTCTGTTTCATGAGTACCTTCACCTCCTTTCGGCTTGTATTACCTACCCTTTTTGGTACTCCCTGTAGGTATAAAAATTATAAAAAAATAACCAATATAGGTAGGTAACAATTTCTGTTTGATATTGATATAATGATATGATATGAGTATGAATATTGTATTATTTGACATAAATGATATACGTGTATGTATTTATTATTTGGACAATATGTGTTACTAATTTGCTCCTATGAAATATATTCATTTATTCATTAATATATTAACACAAACAGTTAAATTAGCTTTGAATATAAGTTGGATACAGAAAACTTTATTTTGTATGCTCTTGACACTATTCTTAATACAAAGCTGTAGGCAGGGTGTCAAATAAGTACCTACACAAAACATAATCATGTATCCTTTGGTGTAGGTATGCAGTAAAATGACAAGTAGTAAAAATATGTTTGATTCAAAGATAAAAGATATTATAAAACATTTTGGATGTTGACATATAGGATATAGATAGCTTCCTTTGCTTCATAGTTTCTTCATGTAAAGCACATCCAAGAACTTTGCTGAAGTCATATTAAAACATCTGCTACAGTGGCTGTGAAATTTTGTACTGACCTTGGTTTACATGGTCAACCAAAGCAATACGTGCTTTAAGTTGATCGGGTCATTGGACGACTCGGTGTCCTACACAAAGATAGAGATTTGTTTTTAATCTAGTAATTCCTAAATTAAATTAAACACTTCTTGCTTGCTTGCTTGCGTCTTCCTAATAAAGTCTTAACATCATGGAACATAGGTATAAATAGCTGCGAGAACATAAGAAGGTACCTCCTTCCGGTTCGTCAAGATTGTAGTATTTTCCTAATAAGAACGCTTTTGAAATTCATGCACATGCATTCATCGTAACTGTCACTTAACAGATTTTACGTTGGTGTTTCGGAACACATACCTACTTAACGTTGGAATTGTATGAATTAGGTATGCCGGTGTTGAAGCTGGCTGCTGGTTTATGATGAATGCATTGTGTAATGAACTATTGTAAGTAGTAGGTATAAAATTTTAATCACATGAGATGAGACTCACTAATAGTCAAAGTATTCAGTGCATTTCAATTTGATAAAAGTGCAAACTATTAAAACGTGAAAAAACTTTACTTTGAAATGTGAAAAAAAATTTGGACCTCCCATAGGTACATGATGTCGCTGTTAGTATTCCTAAAATGCGAATAGGCTCAGTAGCGCAACTTCTTTTAAAAATATTGATAAATGCGTTTTGCCGTGGGAATAAGACATTTTTATGTAGCATCCATGTTATTTTAGATACTATTCGATCTTTTTACGAACGTCTGATTTCAAGCAGCCTTCTTATCAATCTTGGTTTAGTAGTGCAATAAAAGACGTTGCTATTAGTTTTCTTAAAACTCGCCAAATTAAAAATAATTGAAAATGCTTATTCTCGTGGGAATGACACATTTTTCAGTGGTAATCAGTAGATACCTACTAAGTAGTATTCTTTTACTTTACTTTTCTCCTGTCCCCTTTTACCTATCCCCTGTATAACCGATCAATTATGTTAATCTTTTATACCGATAATTAAAACATTGGTCTAATTCCTAAACTCCTAAACGCAAGACGGTCCCTTAAGTTAAAGCGTGATTTTTTTTATTTGAGATGTTCCATAGAAAAAATCATGCCTACTCGGAACGAATGTACCTATATTATGAAGCATCCACTTTTTTGCCATTTCGCAGGTGGCCCCATAGTAAATAATCGATGCAATGTTTGCTGCCTGAGTAAAAGATAAGAGGTTCGGAAATAACTACAATAACTTCGTGTTGCCTACAGGCTATTTAAAAATCACGCTTCATCTTAAGGAGGCATTGTGCGCTTTGGACATTATGCGTGTAGGACATTCAGCGTTTAAATCATTAAGTGTTTACGACATTATGAGTTTAGATCATTGTGCTTTTTTTATCATCGTTATACTTAAATGGTTTTAAAGTACTATTTTTTACGGATGAACGTTACTTTCTAAACTCGGGTATACCGCATACAGTTAGTTAAAGTTTTAATATGAGAATAATGTACAACAGCTATGCGCAGATGTCCCAGTTGCAGTTTCAGAAAATGCATAACGTCTAGGACGCAATACATTCGAAAATCGTCAAAATCTTATCTTAGACTCCTCTAATAGGCCACTCGCTTGGTGCCTATCATTATCGTTACTTATAAATTTAGAGGCATTATAGACTTGTTTGTGACTTGCGAAAGCTCATGAATCTGTTATTGTTATTATCCTCCTGTGATTATGAAATTATTTTCGTTTGGTCGTTGACTCGTTGAACAACTCATGGTTCCACACAAAAAGAAGAAGCTAGCTTCTTTAATTAAAATGCAATAGTGGCAGCATACACTGAAAAGACAAAAAGAATGTTATTTATTATACCAACTACTTATGACTGACACTGTATCTCTTTATATGTTCACTAGCGGCCCGTTGCAACTCATATTGTAAGATATTTTCCTAGCATTGTAGGTAATATACATACCTATAAACCTCCATCTTGAATCACCAAATCTATTACAAAAACCGCATTAAAGACGGTTGCGTTGTTTTGGAAAGGTAGTGATTTCCACGACAGACAGAGATACGCAAAAAGCGACTTCATTTTATACTCTGTAGGTATGTATTCAAATTTGTATTAATGTCGCAGGAATGTAGCGAAATCCGGTTATTCGCGAAATCCCTAGGCCCTTCGCGAAGAGCCGGATAATAGCGAAATGCATCGACTTATTCGCACATTTCCCGGAAATCTGCGAATTCGTTATTTGCATGGACATAAATCCAGGAAAACTGCGTATAAGGCGACACG